TTTTTTGAGATGGAGTTTCACTCTACTTGCCCAGTCTCGGCTCACTGCAACCTCCGCCTCCCGGGTTCAAGCGATTCTCCTGCCTTAGTCTCCAGAGTAGCTGGGATTACAGGTGGACACCACCACACCGGGCTCATTTTGTATTTTCTGTAGAGACGGGGTTTCTCCACGTTGGTCAAGCTGGTTTCAAACTCCCGACCTCAGGTGATCCACCCGCCTCGGCCTCCCAAAGTGCTGGGATTACGGGTGTGAGCCACCGCGCCCAGCCTAAAGTGGTGCTTCCTCAAACGCCAGGACTCGTACTCGCTAGGGTGGGTACACCGTCCAGGGCTGGGCGAGGCTTCCGGAGGCCGCTGGGCGCAGGGCTCCTGCGCTTTCTGCACGGCGGTTCTCGCTGTTCGCTGCCCACTCTGCAGGTGTCTAGTGGGAAGCTCTCCCCGGCAGGAGAGGAGAAGTTGTACCTCTGGTGGGCTGCGCTCTAAACCAACAGGGGCCACTTCTTCCAGAGCTGCCTTAGAGTTTCTAGGAAAACAAAAGATGTCCCTCAGGAGGATCCTGAAACCTACTTCCCAAACAGAGCTTCAGGGAGCGTGAACAGGGTTTTCCCTGCGGGGAAACCTAAGGGGGTTTCCCAGGAATTCCCTAAGCAGGCACCATCCCCCCCCCGGTTCCAAAAGGGATGTGTGCGGTTGTGTGGAAGGTTCTAGGGAGTGAGGGGCGTGCAGGAGGGTTCTGGAGAGTGAAAGGCGTGTGGTTGTGTGGAGAGTCCTGGAGACATTGGTGTGCGGTTGTGTGGCAGGTTCTGGAGAGTTCGGGGGGTGTGTGAATACGTGGAAGGTTCTGGATAGCCTTGCAGAGGAGGTCTGGAAGGTATTGGGTTGATGGATGGAGCTACCTGGTGCTATGGGGCCAGTTTGGGGGAATTACATGAGAAGATCTTGTACCTGCATCTTGGGTGAACCTCCCGCCCGGCCCCTGTGATTAATGAATACCAGCCATGGCCAGCCCCCGTGCTGGGCGGTGAGCTCTGGGAGCCAGGTCTGTCCACATCCAGGGATTTGAGTCGCCCAGATTCTGTGCAGCTCTCCTGCACTGGGGCCTGGTTTGATGGAGGCCGAGCTCACTGGGGAAGGAGCAGGACCTCGGGCAGGTGGAGCCTCATCTAGCGGCTGCTTGGTGGCAGCAAGTCACCTGCATCCTGCTCCAGGAAGAGTGCGGGCCTGTGCCGCGCTGGCCCTGCAGGGACACAGCTGTGGGTAGAACAAGACAGGAACAAGGTACCAGGGGCTCAGGACAGCCCTGGGAGCTGGCGTGGGGAGGGACAAGGCAGGGCCAGAAGGGCCGGGAGTCCCCACGCTGGCCTTCCTGGAACTCACTCCCCGCCGCCTTCCAGCGACCACAGGGCACGGCACCTGTACTACTGCCACCTGAAGGAGCGTGTGCTGAGGTCGCAGTGCACCCACCGGGAGGAGACCTACTTCCTGTTGGCCGCCTGCGCGCTGCAGGCTGACCTGGGCGACCACCGGGAGCCGGCCCACACCGGGAGGTACTTCGAGCCACACTCCTACTTCCCGCAGTGGGTAAGGTCGGGGCCCGCCTCCTCCCAGCATCGTTGGCCTGGTGCCTGTCCACCTCCACCGGGTGCTGTCTGTGGGAGCAGGGGGCTGGGGGCCTGGCAGGGGATGCTGGAGGACGGGTCAGGGATGGAAACAGGGCAATCATCTATCCTTTTCTCCTGAAGACCCAAGGGTCCTTACCACCCCCAAAGGTGGGTGGTGTGGGAGGAATGGCCCAGAGCAGGTAGGTCCGGGTGCCTGTGCTCCTGACGCACCCGGCCAGCTGTGTGGCCTTGCTCACTGGCTTCACCTTTCTGAGCCCCTCGGTGGCCTGGCCGTGGAATGTGACCACGCGGGCCTCATGGCTGTGAACCTTCCCGCTTCTCTCTAAGTATCCTGGGACCCGTAGGAGCCTTTGAGCCTCAGCTTCCTCACCTGTAAGGGAAGGAGTGCTGTACCCCCAGGAGGAGGGCCACGGAGAGGCGTGGGCCGTGCCGCTGTGTGCCCGGTCCCAGGCGCTGTCTGGCCTGCTGGCCTCGTGGGTTGATGGCTGTCACCCCGGGGATGCAGGCCCTGTTCCGGGTGAACTTTTAGGTTTCTCTCCTTGACCGCTCATCGCTGTGTACCTCTCTATCCTGTGCACCTTGGGGCCTTCTCACCTTTGCTCTGAGTGGCAGTCGCTGAGGCCAGGGTGGGGCCCAGCCAGGCTTCCTCCCAGCGCTGTGGACGCCATACCTGCCCTTGGCCTCTGGGCACATTTCCACCCTCAGTGATTCCATGTCCCTGTGGGTCTTACCCCAGTCCTGGTGGTGGCCCCAGCTGGTCCTCACTGGGCAGGTTCCCAAGAGCCAGGGCTCGTTGAGGGTGGAGTCCCCACCTGCAGACGCCTGAGAAGGGCTGGCTGCTGCCATTTCCCTTGGGGAGGGTCCGAGGGGGACAGGAAATCAGACAGAGCCCAGGGCCAGAGCGGGCACTGAGACTTCACCTCTGGGTCTGGGCTCAGCAGTCAGGCCCCGGCCTTGCCCACTGAGGTTGGCACCAGCTGTGGGAGTCTGGGGAGGCTTCTCGGAGCAGGGGGCTGGCGAGAACGAAGGGGGGACCAGCAGGGGTCTGAGCTGACCTCCCGGCTCTGTCCTCAGATCATCACCAAGAGGGGGATTGACTACATCCTCCGGCACATGCCCGCCCTGCACCGTGAGCGCCAGGGCCTGAGCCCCAAGGAGGCCGTGCTGTGCTTCATCCAGGAGGCCTGCCGGCTGGAGGACGTACCCGTGCACTTCTTCAGGCTGCACAAGGTTGAGCCCAGGGCGGCCAGCGACAGGCCGGTCTCTGACCCCAGGCCAGGGATGGACGGAGCCCCCATGGCTAACAGTGGGACCAGGACCCCAGGCCAGGGATGGACGGAGCCCCCATGGCTAACAGTGGGACCAGGACCCCAGGCCAGGGATGGA